CATAATGCTTGACCCAGAATGCCATGCGCAGAACATCCGCAGGTCATCGCGGTATGAAATATCCAACGCAAGCACATTAGATTCAAAAAATGTGCAAAAGCTTGCCCTTGGTGTTGGGTATCGGGATGCATTCTGCGACCCTAGCTGAGTGGCAATGATACTCCCGGTGCCATTTCCACAAACGGAGGAGAGCGGAACTGAGAGCATCCCCTTGAGGCGCCCCATGCTGTTCACGCCCCAACCAAGAACCAATTGCAACATGATTGGTGTTAGAAAATGCTAACCACTGAAAAAGAAAATGAATGCCAATATGCCGCCAAATCATCCCACACGATGGCAAAATTGTGACAAGGCAAGTGTCGAAAACGATCAGTCATGTCAGCAGCAATCGCGCAAGCAGAGTCAAACTGATAGCGCTCAACCTCCTGGTTAAATTGCGAAACTAAAGGGACAATGCCACAGACAAATAGTCAGTCCACAGGTGCACCGGGAAAGCGTCTAAAAGAATATCCAAGGCACGGGAAACCAAGGAATGAAGCCCACAACAAGGAGTGCCGTGCTTATTAACAATGAGCAAGAACGACAGAAAAAAGAAAAAAGGGCAGGCGCCAGATGATCCGGATGATGCCCGCCATTTCCTTGAACACCCTCTCATGCGATTCCCGATCGCAAAGAGACCAAGCAAAGTTGGCATCAGGCTGCTGGTGATGCCGGAAATCCAATAAGCTCAAAAACCAAACGAGGGCAAAAAGCACCAAGACAAGACGAATTGTGATCAAAAATACACACGAAAAAACCCTGGGCCCGAAGAAAGCGGTATTCGACATCTGGCCCGCAGACGCCGAAATATCATCAAAACGAGGAGGCAGACAAATAGTGGCCGGCCACCTGGCAAGATGCTGCAACGTTTCATGCCAGGGAACGGACCCATGCGTGGCCGCGATGTGCTCACACTGCCTTCAAAAGTGACAACAGGCCAGCCGGCTGCCATTGAGCGCACGGCCTGACAAGGACAGGCAGGGCAAACCCCCTCCTCAAGCGCCTTTCGCAAAGGCGAAGGGCCAGATAAAACACGAGCCAGCGATGGAGAAGCCGACCAGGATACAAAACACTTGGCATGCCTAGTCACAGGCACCCAAAAACCCTTTTGACGCCACTTGGAAATTTAAATAGACGACCACAATTAAAAGCAACGGGCAAAGATTTCTCCGCTTCTTGGAGATCACCCAGAGTAGATTACGACCGCGCTTACGCCGCCAACCTTCTTCGTTTTGGTCGACACTGCGGGCGACATATAGGCCCAAGCCCCGGGGCTCAAACTCCAAGCGGCCGGGCACATAAGCGAGCCTTGGGAAACTTGTGACCAGCCAAGGCCGAGGCAATCTTCTTGAGGCCATCACGCCATTCTTTTCGAAGAAGCCCTGAGCCCGGACTGGCCCGGACTAGAGACAGGCCTTACGACAGTCTGTGAAGAAGGACGGAGACGACAAATCGGACGGGGCGAATCAAAAATCGGCATCCCAGGTATGCAGCGCTGCTTTCGTTTTGGCAAAAGATTGTTCACAAGCGGAGGGTTTAAGGTGCCGAGTTCACGACACAGCTCACTTTCCGCAAGAAGGCGCTCCTCTGTAGAGGCAGGAGCAATGCACACGGGCAGCATAAGCAAAAAACTCAGGGCGGCAAACAGCTGAGTTCCATTGTCACAACCGCGCCGTACGACCTGATAAAAAGGCTGCTGCGTAGCACCGTCCTGCGCAGCGATCCGAAGCATGTGCTCCACCATGCGACGGCGAAAATGCAAAGTTTCGCGCGCGTAAAAAGCAGGGCCATGAGATGAGATCCGTAAAGGAAAAGGGAAAATGATGCGCAGACATGGCCTCAGAGAAAGATTATGCCATCCATGCACCCACGGGTCATTACCAAGTAAATGTAACAAACGAGTGTTCCGCTTAGAAGGCACACATTTCAAAAGCATAAGCCAAAGGCTCCCAGCGAGACTCAGAAGCAAAAACTGATCATTCCAATTACGTCACGCAAGTAAAAACAAACGAAACCGCAGAAGCAAGATTACATCTTGGGCAGCTCTCAGCGCAGCACTCAGTACAGGATCAGCAGGAAAACCATCAAGTCACGCCGGCTTACGCACTCTGTCACAGGTGCGCAGAGGGCAAGCAGAGCGGTGACCTGCTCATCAGGACTGACGTTCAGGGCATCGAGGGTCTTGTTCAAGGCCGTGTTGTCCTTGGACCTGGCTCCAAGCTTTGGCGTGATCCTTTCCAACTTGCGGAGGTAGATCTGGAACACCGTCTGGTAAGGTCGCTCATGGCCTCCAATGGGCTGAGCCGCATCAAAGCCTTGGCTGCCGACAGCTTTCGCACCGAAAAATGGTGATTCTCACAGTCCAACTCGAAATTGTGAACGCTGAGGTTGGCAGTTTCGGTGTCAACCCGGCGCTTCACCCAGTCAGCAAAGTCAACACTTGCTTCCGGAGCTGGCTTGGACGGCGATCCAACCGCCAAAGCACGCAAGGCATCCATACCACACTGCTGAGGGGCACTGGCCAGGCAAGGCAGGCGCATCCAGGAGATCCCCAGAGGCCCACTCAACATCCCGAGAACTGGGCGGCCCACGGGGCGCTTGAGGACAAGAGTCCAGGAACTTCAACACGCTCTTCCACTTGGCTGGGTCCGTGGTGGTGATGGGGAGCTTGTGGAACAAGTCCCAGAAGTGCTTCTCAGTGAGCCTCGACATTGGCACAATTTTGAGACCATCCTCAGCATAGAACTGAGAAGTCTGAGGCGTCGCAAGTGCTTGCAGACGCTCACGGCGAAGGTCATTGATCCTGCGGCACATATTCATTCATGCGTGCCTCTTTGTCAGCAATCGACTTCACATCGAAGATCACATCATCCGGGGCCTCGAATGCAACACTTCAAAGAGTAGAAGCAAGACCATTGAACACCTTGCGGAACTCTGAAGGAGAGCACCGAGAAATCAAAGAGGTCAACTCATAGGTGAAGACCTCCGAAACGGGAGCGAGACCTCGGAAAGTCACGGTGGACACCAGGCGGTCCCCCACTGGGCGCCCAAAGGCCTGGGGGAACGGCCTGAGGCATGAAGCCATGAGAATAGGAGCCACCACCAGGATGAGAAGGAAAGTACTGGACGCTGGACAAAGTCACCGCGCGGTGGCGGTGGAGGCGGTAAGTGCGAACCATGGCCATGACCACACTGCATGTCGCACAACGGCCAAGCACAGCAGCAAACAGGTTGAGAGCGCGAAAAACTGCGGGTCAAGCAAAGCGCAAAAAGAAATCCGAAGAGAACAATGCAACCTGCAAATGCCGCCAAGGGCATATGGAGAAACCCTAATGCAAAACAAGAAACTTGCAGGATGAAAAACAAGAGCGCACATGCAGTGAACAGCCAAGCATGACAGAAAATGTGATCGCCGTAAAAACCCCAAGTATTGCAACTCGGACGTAAAACTACTTTTTTTGAGCAGCCGAGAAATACAGTGCAAGGTGCATAAAATATGAAAGGAAAGAAACATGCCAGGCGCACCTTTTTCCCTTTGACCCCACAGTCATTGAAGCCCGAGAAGAACCGAGCCGGGAAGGTTACATAATGAATTGCGCAGCCAAAGTATCAAAATTGATAAAAAGACATACGCACCGTAAGATAAGCCACAAAGATCACGAAGGGTCAGTCATAGACCACATGAAATATCATTGGGGTTGCAAAAGCACTGGCAATGGGATGCCTACACCAGGACCATTCCTGGGGTCCCAAAAGAATTCCCCGAGGATTGTTGGGCACAGGCGCAAAAACCGTGAGAATCAGTAAAACAGTGATTTCAAACACAAAACTCGTTGATGCTAAAACAAACGTGCTGCACTTTCCCAAAGTTACAGCATTGATGGGGTTTCGTCAAGACTACCACTGCTGCGCTGTCACAACACATTTGCGACCTTCAGAAACATGTAGCTCATCAGGTATCAGCTCTTAGCGCAGAACAGTGTAAATCTTGAGCTGATACGGCCCCAAAACCAAAAAGGCGAGGAGTGGCCAAACATCGGCCGAATGAGCATCGTACCTGGCGAGCGGGTCCGCAGTGCGAGCATCACAGTTGGGACAACAAAGCCTCAAACTGCTGTCCCTCAAACAGCAGCGTTTTCAACGACATGGTCGCCAAAAACACAGCTACTTGCGAGGTTTTTTACATTTTCGCGCAAAGACGTCAAGCCTCGGCAATGTACAAAAACATTGCAAAAACCACTGTTTCTGCCCAACAAATACGGCGAAAACCGTCACCCAAACAGCTCCGAAATCACAAAATCTGGCCCCCCGGCCTCCCGACAAGACACATGAAAAAAAACGCATCTCAAAACCGAAAATCGAAGACCAAAAGTTAAAAAGACATGTGTTGCTTTTTCACTTTTCTCTTGCCGGTTCCGGGTGGGCGCATGCACGAACTAGTCCATTCCGTGCAGTAAAAACAGTGTTTTTTGAAGTCCGCCGTCGCGACCTATCAAAAACCAATTGTTTTCACCAAAAAATGCCCCACCCCCAGGTAAACCTGTACCTTACAGTTGTTTATGCCATCCGGATGATCACGCCCTGAGCACCTTCGGTGCGGGCGGATCTATTTTATATATGCACCGTATTGTATAATACATTAGTACAATTATGTAAATCGTTTCTCTTGTATGATTCTATATAATTCTGTACACATACAGGTATAACGGTATACCAAAGCGATCGACTAGTTTTGCAGTTTTGAGGTTCTGGCAGGTGAACACAATTTACCACAAGGATTGAACACTCTTTAGAAGGACATGTGGAGCCAAACACTCCAAAAGCATATCATATTGACATCCCTGCTTATCCATTTTGTTCATATTGCGATAGCTGCCAAAAGTGTGGATCTTTCTCGAGACATTCCCAGATTTCAATGTTTAACGATCACCAAAGGGTACTCGGACTTGCAGCCATGATGCGAGAACGTAGCTGGGCCATTTGTGAGATGCAATCATGAATAAGGCCTTTCCATCGAAGAGGCCTTGCAAACTGCGACAAGAAATCCATCGATGACGGGCACACATCGCCAATAACTGAACACGAAAAAGCCCGGGAAAAGGGTCCTATATTTATATACTGTATATAATGTGTATATTATACATGTGGACGCTAGAGGCTAGTGTGCAAGGCCTAAGGAGATTTCTGTCCTTGATGAGATTGTCTTATCCCATGAACTCCCTCCACCGAGATGCTTAGCAAGGCGCAACAAGCTGGATTCCTCTCCTTGTCTCAACAACTGCCACTGATCCTATGCAGGCTGCCGACTCATGAAAAGCACTTGATTTCTATTCGGAGTCTGACATCTGCTCAGGATCATCCCGTGGAAGTTTCTCTATGGAAAGGCAGGCACCCACATGAACTGTAAAGGTTAACTTTCTTGTAAGCCATGAACTAGGGAGTGCCATTCAAAGACTTTTGTTGGTCAGCATCCCACCTGAAACCATTTTCCGCCGAGACAGATTAGATGATTAGCTGAGAACCCACCCGTGCGCCCGTGTGCGGATCGCATGCGGGTTGTGCGTACCTGGCACCCGGTACAAGTCAAACAGGTCGGCGCCAAAGAATGAGAAGGAGGGCATGCTGGAAGTTCCCATCTGTCCCCAGGTAGTGACTCCTGGGCTGACCAGCAAAATGGGGGAAGATGAGTGATAGGCTTCGGAGACATTTCCTCAACAAATCCTTCATCCTCAAGTAGGGATGCCCTCAGCTGTAGTCAAAAAGCGTTGCCCCTAACAACTTGCAACAAAAAGACATGCAATTTTCCAATTCGATGTCAGTGCTGCGACCCCACCACTAACTTCAGCCATGAGAATTTACCTCTCTCTCTCTATATATATAATTATATAACGCATTATAACGCAATATAGTCGTCTATAGTCTCTCGTGATCTCTCGTGGTATCTAAACGGCAAGAAACTGTTGCACGTCTCGTTCGATCCAGGCCCTATTGCAGTGAGCTCCCTTGACTCACCTGACCCTGGGTTTTGACTCACGTGACCCATTGGCTTGTCCACCGGCAAGCGCCGAACAGAGGCTCATTGCTCAAAGCACTTGGCCCAGAAACGTGACGAGCAGCTCATGGGTCTCATATGATCTGCAACCAAAAAAACCAAACAGGTTTCGATTACCCAATCCAAACCCGTGGGGATGATCAAAGGTCATTCTTTTCTTCCCCATGCCCCTCTTGAAATTCTTGCGGTTGTATCAAGGTCTGAGAATAAGAGCATCCCGAGATGAGAGAAGCAGCCCCCGGGTTTTGACCGCGGCACTTCATGAATTTGTCCATAGATTTGTGCTATCCACTCCACAAATCCACGCAAAGCATCAAAACGTGTCCTGTTGGTGGGTTCAGCTGCGCCTCTGTTCCCAGCCATCACTCGCTCCAAGACACGCTTGAAATACATCCGGTACTTTGGGTACTTCACCTGAGACATCACTTGGGGTACTATGCGGGGAGGTGTGTTGCAATGTCCAAAATACTAGTGAGTCTGACAAAAAGATATAATCGTCCATGATGTTCCTTCGAATTTTGCAGACTCAAACTTCATGCAAAGGACTTCTCTCATGGCCCTTCAGAGGCTCCATTTGGCAAACAAAATGCCGCTCGATGCGCATCAGGTTGCGTTGGTCAGGATGAAGGAGCTGGCGACCACCATGTTTGGGCTCTGGTAGCACCTCGGAGCCACCAATGAACTCGGACGAAGGAACGAAAAAGGAAACTGGTGTGGGTGTGGGTTTCAGAATTGTTCAATGGCTCCTGGCATGTGTCTGCCACATCTTCCATTCACCGGCCTTGGTCACTGGGTATATTAGGTTTGAAGCTGGAGCTGGCTCAAGACTCAGGCTCAATGAAATCCGGAATGAGCTAGGAGGTGTTTGTTTCATGCTTTGGGAGGCTTCAAGCAGTATCCTGGCTGCCATATTCGCTCGCAGTGCTCATCGATCCGTTCCAGCCACACTGTCTAATTGAGGAATCCAAAGTTAGTATTCATGCTTTTCATATTGACATGTGCAATCAAACATTCATGAAGTACCCAAACCATATTACATATAATTACTGAACACACGGCACTCTTCTCCCGCTTTTTGTCACCTATTCCAACATGAAACAGGCCATTATGTCTGGCATGTCTCAAATGAGAATGACCATCTTGTGGACCTTCGATCTCCGTCGAATTCGTATCTCATGCGGAACCGGCCTGCCATCAGCTCCAGCACATCCATGAGGGCACATCTGAGCGAGCGAGCCAGAAACACACCAAACGGGGAGATTTCGCTGTCATTGAGTTATCGGTAACAGCCGATAGTAACTTGCTTAGGGGCATGACATCGCTATTTTAAGAGATGTGGGCAGGGACGCCAATAGATTTGTGATGTTTTGTGCAGTATATGCATGAATACACTCATGTCACATGTATGTGTGTATATATATATATACATACAGCATGCCAGCATGCATGTATATATATATATTGTTGTATATCCTTTGATGGATCCTAGCTCTCAACATCCCAGTTAACATCATGTGTTAATTAAATAAAACCCCAGCTTTGGGAAATTCAACTGGACAAACTGAACATAGATATTGCCAACATGACGATGGATCCCTCTCGCTGCAATGACTTGGAGGAAAAACACTAGAACTCATGCTATTCATTGTTGATGCTGTCGGATGCTGATAAAGGATGGCGATGGTGCAACTTCTCGGCGGGCCCATGTGCACTCCATCAAGTTGATAGCGCCTCCAACCTAGTAGCGATGGCCTCCAGCCCATGTGCACTCCATCAACCCTTCAGGTTTTCGAACGGTCCGACAGGTCCGCTTTGGCCCCGGAAGGTCTCGACAGGTCACGTCGAGGCGGAAGTTCTGCCGCACCAGTCGTCTCAATGGGTGCTGTGTCGGAAGTTCCGTCGGAAGATCATCCGTCATGCAGTCCCTTTTTTGGTCCGGGTCCAAACAGAAGGGATGAACAACAAAATTCTTTTGTGTCCAGGACCTTCAGCGGTGTCTTGACCCCTCCGCAAGACACAACCACAGCTCGCAAAATGGGGCATGCGGCATGCTGGAAGGTCGAGAGGCGGAAAGTTCTGCTGTGCCACACGGCGTTTCGCCGCCCCTTCCCCGCGTCGTTTCGGGCGCCCCGGCGCACTTCCCCGCGTCACACATGGCCATACGAAAGCTGCTGCAGGAAGCGTAGGCACACGTGCCGCCTGTGAAGCCTCGGCTGTGAGGCAGTGAAGGTGCATGCTTTCCTTAGGAAGGAAGACTCAAGCTGTGTGGAAAGGAAAACAGGGAGTGATCGAAGAGCCAACAGTCCAGTCATCCTGGTTCCACTCACACACACAAAAAGAACAAGCAAGGTTAGAAAGGCTTGGCGGAAAGCACAATTTGTCAAATTGGTTCTCTCAGGGGCCGTGTCTCATTTGTATCCGAACGTGAGGGCCCCTGAAACAATCAAACCCTAGAAGATGACTTTCTGCAAGACATCTGTTCTGAACTTGCTGTTTATGTTCACTTGCCGGGGGGAGGGCTGATTTGCCCATGAGTAGAGAACTTTCCCGTTTGCACTCTTTCCTCGTCCTGAGTAGATTGACAGACCGAGAATGTCCAACAAACAATACCGCCATTTTCCAAGCCTTTCCCTTCCGTCCAACTATATATTCCCATCAGTGGTCAAGGAGTCACCCAGTCTGCTCGGAGGATGAGTTTTTCGAAGCTCTACGATGGTGAATGCAAGTTCAAGTGGTTTTTTTGGCAAAAAGATCGACGCCTTTCAAGACCAGTGACATGACGGATCGTGATACACTACGCACACAAGAATCTACATATGGATTGCGTTCTTTCGGATCCGCATGTGATGTGCTCTTCCATAGGTTGGGGCCGACCTGAGCACTTTCATTTACACATTCATATCCACTGTTCACACCTGTGGAAGAAGGCACCACTCACATGCCGAGGTCACGATCCAACAGTCTCTACAGTATTTTAAAGGGCCCAACAACTGACTTCAAAGAATTGAACTATGAAAAAATATCAAAAGTCATCAGCCACACCGCCACACAAACTCCATCAAAAAACCATCCCAGTCCCAGTCCGGTCTCAGGTGCCGTAGCACGTGGCGGCGAGGCTCCCCATGCGGACCGAGCCGGAAGAACCCCACCTCGGCGAGCGAGCGCTGAAAACGGGGAGACCGAACGAGCGACAAACATTTTGCACACTATCAGTACAAGTACAGTACTGCACTCTTTGAAGAGGTATATTTGTTCTTTTCGAACTGATAACGATATGTATATATATATATACAAATACACGGTCATTCAAGATCCGATCCTTTGATCGGGTACACACTGATGTTTCAACATGGATGGGTTTGCCGCCCTTTGGTCATCGGGAACCTGCAAGTTCAGTTCGTTCACTTCCCTTCCGGCCAGTTTCTTCGATCCAGAGCAACCTTCAATTTACCCAAATATACGAAGTTCTAAGAGTGACCACAGTGATTGTATATGGAATGCAGGCTGGAGAAAAAATTTTGCAAGTGCACACAGGATCCACGTTGTGTGGAGAATCAACCAAGATGTATTAGATATTTTTATAGGATGGCATAGAACCTGGAATGGATGAAAGTCCTTTCTGTCCAGCTTGACGCACCTGGCCCGCCAGCCCACCTGTCCGAGACATTCATCCGCTGCTGGTGCAACTCCAAAAGCTTCACTAGGACCTCCTGGTCGGCGAGCGGAAGAAGCTGTGATTCAAGGATTGAATGTCCTCAAAACCCAACAAGGGGGAAGGGGAATCACATCTTTTTCAGCAAAGAAAAACACACACGTTTTGACGCCTTCCACCATGTTTGCACACTTTTGTATATATGTAGTTACATATCATCATATTCAACAAGAACACACTTAGATTCATCGCTCAAATGAATGAGCATAGGTTTCAGAAGGTGGTTCACGAGTGAATACCTAGCCCTGGACTTGCATAAAACCGCATGGTGGAGAGTCGGCGCAAACAGGATACATCGCCAACTTCGATGACCAGGCGACGATGTACCCTGCCTTGTCCCCTGCTCTGTGGAACAAGTAGGTCCGTGAAATCCATATCGAACAAGCTCTTGGAAACAGAGGTGTGCACACACAAGCAGCCGCAAGGCGGCGCGCCCTCGACGGAGGGCGCATAGCCTTTTGTCCTCAAAGCGCCAGCAAGCTGTGTACAAGGTGAAAGACATCGTTGAGAGTCTAGCGAAGCACCACAGAAATTTTGAAAGTCGTCATCCGTGGATCAGACTTGGAGATTGTCTCAGTGGCAAAAACTGAGCGTGGACAAAAAGGTCTGATTAAAAACCTGCTCGTAAGGGTCTGCTTATGCTATTGCTTACGCTGTACTTACGCGACCACAGTTTTTGCTTACGCGCCAGATTTCCTCTATAAGAGCTTACGCTTCGCTTACGCTTAACAGGAGATAGTGCCTGAATTTGCATTTCCGCACAGGCACCAAATGATCCCAAGGAATCTCAAGGAGAAGACTCAGACGATGAACTTGATGAAGTTGATGAATAATTTTCATCTTCAGCAGTTTTTTGTGCTGCCAGTTGCCTGCGCCTTTTGGCAGCTTGTCTGCTTAAGGCCCTGCCTTTGCTGAAAGCCTGTCTTCGAGAGATCTCTTGGGAGCTGGCATCTTGCTGGTTCTATGTGTCTTCTGTGCCATATGCTGGCGGCATCGTGGACTAGGATGCGCGAGCGAAGGTTTTGTTTACGCACTGCTTATACGCGTGGCTTACAAGGTGCTTACGCGCATGTTCGCGTACTTTCTGGCCAAAAACAAATTCAACTCAATGAGATGGAAAAGACATAGCTATGACGCCACATATATTTGCTAATCACTGGAAAGCCTCTCACGGACACAGGGTTGCAAAGTCACTCACTCAAAGCTTTGGTTATTGCCAAATGTTTAGTTCTGGAGGTTGACACTGACTACAGCACAATGGTAGCAGCACCGAAAAACATCTACTACAAAGATCATCAAAAATCCAACATAATATGCTTACGCACTGCTTACGCACACTGAAGTGTCACCATAAGCTTACGCAACCTTACGCAACTCACAGTTTTGCTTACGCACACTGCTCTTATGAGCAGGTCTTACTTACACATGTAAGGGATAGTTTTAGACCATGCTCAACTGTGTGGCAAAAATGCAATGCAGCTTGGAAGAGTATGTGAGAAGTCTCCGTAAGCTCGGCACGTTTAGTCAGCTGTTCCCGGACGTGCTCACATGTTCAGGAAACGGCTCGCGGCAGGCAGTGATAGATCAGCAAGTTGCAGTGGTGAATACGGCCCCCCAATCGGGGATCACACTGCACACCTGTGAAGATGCAGGTCACACTTAGATTCATAGCTCAAATGAATGAGCATAGGTTTCAGAAGGTGGTTCATGAATAAGTACTTAGCCCTTGACTTGCATACAGCCGCGTGGTGAAGAGTCGGCGCAAGCAGAATGTTTCAACAAACGCTTCACGAGGAAATCACAGCTTGTCAACGTCACAAGCAAAAGCAGGTACGTGGAAGTGGCGTCCCACTTCCATATCCTCGAATACATCGCCAGCTTCGTTGACCAGGCGACGATGTACCCTGCCTTGTCCCCTGCTCTGTGGAACAAGTAGGTCCGTGAAATCCATATCGAACAAACTCTTGGAAACAAAGGTGTGCACACAAATATACATATAGATAGATAGATAGATAGATAGAGTTATATGTATATATATATAGATGTAAATAGTTATGTATACACATATATATATATATGTCTACATACTGGAGGTCTTCTTGTTTTGTTCACAGGTCTTTTTGGTCCAATGTCGGCAGGACACCTTTATTTACTGGGTTGCTGCACCATCATGGTTACCGTGCAGGAACGGAACCACGGAGGGTCAGGCCGTCTGTCCGCAGCAGAAATCACTGGGTTTGTAGTAGCTATGTAATAGCTATAATGCATTTCATACCGCACGAGCGCCCCATAGAAACCCATAGGAACCCATCGGATTGGGTCGAACAGGAGACAAAGGTACCAAAGAAGGTCTGAAACATAGCTCTGACACCATCTTGCTTCTTTTCAGGCGCGCTTCCATTTACAAATAAATCTGTTCTGTTGAAATGGAAAGGTGTATATATTTTCTGGATGGTCAAAGACCGGGGAACCTGTGGCAGGAGGAGGAAGAGCATATATATATATATCCATACATACATATGTTTGCTGTCTGCCCAAAAGATGTGTACCTTTCGTTTGAAACCACTTAGCAAGCAAGAATGGAATGCCTTCTCAACGTAGTGGGTATGTATATAATGGATTAAATATAAATATACATATAAATAAATACATATATATATATATATGTATATGTGAATCGATCGAATCGACAAGCCAGTGAAGCCACCTTCGAATGAAACCATGAAGGGATGAAGACCAACCACAATGATGGTTTGGCTCAAGGGCCGACTCGGAAGCAGGAAGGGAAACAAGTGCGGTGGACCGCTGAACAGGGTGGAGGACCACACATAGGTTGGTTTGGAGTAGACCCCGTAGGTTGTTTGGTTGAGGGCTGAGAAGCTACCTTTGTGATCTGGGAGAATCCCAGTCACATTGGTAGCGGAGCCCGGAGGCTCAACGTGGACGTTGTAAAGCCATGGGTTCCGAAGATAAAGCTGCCACCATTTGGAATTTGTTGCCTAGCTTCGATCCAGGTCAAGATGACATCAAAGAGTACATTGCAAAAGTCAAGTTCCTTGATGGGATTTGCCCGAAGAAAGATCGGGGAATGTTGGCGCCACGCCTTGCTATGTTGTGCAAAGGGACGGCATGGCATCAAGTCAGGACGATCGAGCCGGACGCATTGACGAATCCTGACCAAGGTGTGAAGCATTTGCTCAAGGCATTGTCAGCCTGGGAGGAGAGTGCAGAGCTCAAGACGTTTGAGTTGTTCGAGCGCGCAATTTACAAGACGACCCAGAAGTCAGACGAAAGCACGCAGTCATTCGTAAACAGGTTGGATGTTGCATTTGAAGAGGTTGGACAGGATACGACATTGAAGTCGATCAAAGCATTTGTCCTTCTGAAGCAGAGCAATCTAGGACCAGAGGACAAGAAGAAAGTTCTGACCATCACGAACGGACAGTTCGAGAAGACTGCAATTGAGAATGCTATGCGCAGCCTTTCAACCAATGTTTTGACAGGTGGTGGAACAGATCGCAAGAAAGTGTACCCCACGAATTTCGTGGAAGAATCCACTGAAAGCACCACTGAGGCTACAGATCTGTCCTATCAGGACCAGAACCTCTATGCAGCCAGTATTGATGAGGAGGACCTCACACCGGACATGTTGGAGCATTTGGCTTCAACTGGAGATGCTGACGCGTTGACGGTTCAGAGTTTTGAGAAAGAGTTGACAGAGTTGTTTCAAGAGGTGCCTGACTTGCATTCAGCATTGTTGAGCTATCAGGAAGCTCGAGGCCGCATTGTTGAGCGTAAGCGCAATAGAGGCTTTTGGCCTTTGAAGGGTGGTTCATCAAGCAGCAAGTCTGGAAAAGGGTATGGACCTCCAGGGTTCAAAGGGTTCAAGAAGGGCCAATCCAAGGGAAAGGAAGAGTTGTTGAGCCGCATTGCAAGGACCCATTGCAAACGCTGCGGCGAGATCGGTCACTGGAAGGCTGAGTGTCCCCTTCGTTCCAAGGAGTCGCAGGCCAATGTGGCATCCACGCCATACGTTGAGGCCGATGCATTCCAATCTGACCAAGTGCTGTTCGAACAGATTGAGTCAGAAGGGGAGGTCGGGGTTTGGTCAAAAGAAGACAGAAACGAAACGACACGGATAGAACCAAGCCACGAAAGCTATTCGTTCGAAGCCGATGCAAGTTTTGAGAGCAGTTCATGTGAGTTTGCATTGTTCACCGAAGCCACCAAGTTGCGAACCATGTCATTTTTCATGAATAGGAAACGAGTGCTGAATCATGAACCCAGGAGACCAAGCATTCGAGCACCGGAGCCGCCGAGAGCTTCAATCGCAGCTGGGCTCACCAATAGAGCCGGATCCTTGTCAGGATTCCAAACGAATGGAATGGCTATCCTGGACACAGGAGCGAGCCGGAGTGTGGTAGGAGATGAGCATCTCCAAATGCTCTTAGAACAGTTGCCGACCTTCGTCCGAGACCGTGTGAAAGAGAAGCCGAGCCGAGTGACTTTTCGATTCGGTAACAATCAGATAGAACACAGTTACAAACAGATACACATACCAATAGACAATCAAAAGGTCCGCATGTGGTTGGTCGTTGAGGTGGTCCCAAAAGGTACTCCATTCCTCTTGTCAATCCAAGCAATGAAGCAGTTAGGAACCATTATGGATTTGCAGAAGGGTTCGTGTTTTTTGAGCTCGCTAAATAGATCAATCAAGTTGCACGAAGGCCGAACAGGACTTTTGATGATTCGTCTCTCAGATATGTGTCAGATGCCAACGAATATCCAGAGCATTTTTGGAGCAAGCAGTGATTCGATTGCACGTTCGCTGATCGAACCTCGTCATGCCCACCCGTGGCGAGCTGATGCAGATGGTGAAGAGCATCGCAGAGAATGTGATGCAAAGCCTTCAGACGCTGTTGACCATTCTGCTGAATCAAGTAGCCACTCAGGTATCGAACCAAGAGGTTCCACAGAATCAGGCATCGATGATGAGCG